TAATCTTGATCCATTTAAGCCTTTGTTTTCACCAATTTCTAAATTTCATCGAACAAACTTTTATTTAAAAAAGTATGTAAATTTTTAAATTTTTCTTGGCAGGTCTACCATAAATGAATCCATACAACCTGAAGAAAAGCCTACATATGTTTTTTTACTGTTGAACATATGTAGTGATACTTATGTTTTTATGTGTTTATTTTGCATAAGTGATTTTTTGTAACTTTAATTCTACTTCTTCAACATAATATTTTATAAGATTTATGTATACTGTAGTTTGTTATTTCCAGAGTAATATCACATAATTTGCCTTAAACACAATTTGTTTATTCATTCACATTGCAGTGGCATTCACACATGGGCTTCAACTCCTTGACAAACAATACTATTCTGTATATGTGCCATCTCATATTCCTATGTGAAAATTTCTCTGTGATGCATATATGTATGTATGCATGCATGTGCATGCATATATATGCAAAGATGTATGTAGGTGTATCAATATATGTATGTGTACATATATATTAATGAGCAGGTGTTCGAATCATTAATTTATACATACAGTTACTTCTATAAATTGTGTTCTAATATATAATCCTTGAAAATAACTTTGTGTTGATGCATAGGTCCATATTTTGTAATAAAGTAGTATGTATTTCATTAGACCCTCTCCTCACCTTTCTTTAAGTACTTAATAATCTTGCATTAAATGTCTGAGAATTTTTCCCTGGGCTGTAAGAGTCCATATGCCTTGTAAATTCTCTACTAATTGACAAAAAAGTATTTGTTTACTATTTGAAAGGAAACTGTCAGTAAAACTACTTTCTACAAGAGGTCAAACTTGGAATTATGATGAGCTCTAGAGGCTGGAATAAATGACAATGTCTATTGATAAGGTTTTTTTTTTCTGTTTATTTTTCTTTAGTATTTATCACAGTTTGCTTTATGTATTTGGCAGTAAGCTATTTGGAATACATCCTTTAAAAACTGTTATCTTTACATTGCTGCACATATTTTTGACAATATCAGTTGCATACGAAATGACTTTTGCTGTTTTTCATGATTTTTAAATTTTTTATGTCCATATTTTAATAACTTAATTTATTTTTCTGGTACTCTAAATGGTACATGCTTTGCTTTTTAAAAATACTTTTTAGGCCCTCCCTGGTGGCGCAGCGGGTTAAAGCACTGCACTGAGAAGCTAAAGCCACTTCCGCATGAGTTCGATTCCCGCCTGCCCCGGAGGTGACCACATGGTGTGGCAGACCACTTCTGACCTGCCCGCTGCTCCCCTCAGCAGTGTACTTCATCTATCTGCCTGTTCTGCTCCCCAATCTGTCTCTGGTGAAGCCTCTCACCGCCCCGAGCCTCTGGCCTGTACCCCAGTTCTGTATGCATAAATAAATAAATCTTTTAAAAAAATACTTTTTAGGCATTTATATAACTATATAATTTGGGGAATACAATTTCACATGTCTATTTATGTACATGCTTCATTTACCCCATATAGAAACTACACTCTCAATCTCTTATCACAATCCTCCTAGCCCCTAATTTTCCCTCCTCCATTTCCTCTGATGTCCAGTACATTTTCCCCAGAATCTAAGAATTATTTTTTCTATGCATTACAAGTTTGTTCTCTTTGGTTATTTTTATTCCACAAGTCATAAACAATATACCCTGTAACTGTTGTTCACTGTGACATCACTGACTGAATATAATTACTTCAAGGTCCATTTTGTTGATACTACATAGCTCACTTATACATCTTTTATGCCACTTACATAATTACACTATACTGTTTTTTAGTTATGCTTATATGATTTTAATTTTATCTGTGCTGTCTGTAAAGGCCCGATAAGGTCAGACTGAAATTTAGAGAGTAATGGTTGTAGAATAATGCTGCCCAGATTCAGTAAAAAGTATTGGTAAAAGAAATAGGAGTACAATTGTGATCCTCTATAAGCCGCCCCAATTCTTTCCTCTTGTAATCTGTAAATTCCTTGAGATTAAGTGTAACGTTTATCATTTTGACTGATGAATTCCCCTATGTAGCATAAACTTAGGAAGCAGTATGTCTGCAATAAAAATATATACATTTAAAAGAGAAATAAGGAAGGACTTTTTTAATTTATGTTGTATTTTGTTTGATTTTGGGTTGGCACTAATGAGTTCTTCTCTCATTCCCTCTAACTTAATTTAGTCAATTGGTACATAATAAATTTTAAATGAGTTGAAGGAAAACAATGATGTAGAAATTGTAGAATTCATGTTACACCAATTGTAAAAATGGTGTAGAAATTGGAGAAATTTATGTTATACCAATTGAGTATTTGTGTTGCAGGGGTTTGACTTTAGGTGTGTTTGTCATATAAATCTATCCCATTAACATCAAAGTGAGCATTCTTGATAGAATGATATGGAACATTGAACAGTTATCCATTATTCATTATTAGATACTCCATTGTACTCCACCCACATACCAATAAAATGCCTTTGTATGACTAATCTGGGTATTACTAAAGATTACTGGAGATCATCGCAGCATTTTCAAACCTCTAAGCACATCCACGGGTATTTCTAAGGAAATACAGGGGGAAATATAGGTTAAATTATATAATTTATAAGCTATATAAAGAAACTTGATAAATTAAACAAATAAAATAAATTTAAAAAAAAAGCATATACCTAGTCATCAAAAGTCTGTAAATTCAATGGGAATTTTAAAAGCCAAATTGGATTCAAACGTGCTAAGCTAATGCTTCTCAAAAAATAAAATTAAATAAAAGCAACTGAAAAACAAAAACAACCCACTATATTATTTATCTATCTGTATCCATCTGTCTGTCTTTCTTTCTATATCTATCTACACACACGTTTGTAATTAGAATTGTAGATAACGTAGGGTAAACACTGAACCACTTCAGTAAGGAATCATCATGAAGTAAACACTCTCACTTGTACAGAACGGTCTGTGTTTCCCAGGGCAAGAACTTGTTCTGGGCTGTGTGTTTTGGGTGGCAAAAAGATGGTTACCTAGCAACAACCCCGCCTCTCAAATCCTCAGGCAAGACCGGCATTGCTAACGTCATCGAATTGATTGCTTGTTTGCTATATCTAAAGAGAACAATGTATAATGTGGTAGGGTGTAAATATCAGTTTTAAGAAACTTAGAGGTTTTCCCCTATATTTGAATATGAATCCCACTCTTCATTTGGTGCTTCTAGAATCTAAAGAGATTGGATGTCAAATAATATATCAGGTGAAAATGAAGGGGAACTCATATATTGAAATTAATAATATTTATCTTCAGATTCCTTTTAAAAGCAATAAATCAAGCATTTACTACAGCCACTAAACATGAGTTCTGGGCAAGAGGGATTCTTATCACAGAATGTCATTGGAAATGAAACCAAAAAGGCGGAGTGGGATTCTGTAAAAATAAAATTATGCAATCTAGACAGGTTTTAAATAAAAATACCTTCTGAAAGTAAAATTAGAGAAATTCTAATTTATATAGAGTATACAAGATAAACCCCACTACATTTATTTTTTTTACTTGTGGTATGCATCACAAATAAATGCCACCCGTTTATCTAATGATTTTTTTTTTGTTTTGTATTTTATATGGTATAATCCCATAGGTATAAATACAGCCAAGGAACATATAATCTGAACGAAGTGGAAAGATAAGAACATTAAACATCTATTCTTCCAGTAGAAAAAGTAAATACAGTAACTTGGTTTGTGTGTCTTCATAAGTACAAGATATAAGGTTAAAAAAAAATCTGTTGGAAGAATGTTAAAATGCCAACTATGTGGGAGTAAGTAGAAAGGAAAAGAAAAGGGACTTTGGTTTATAAAATTTTCCATGATGCAAAAGACTGAAGCCAGCTTCTCCCCAGACACAGTCCTGACGCTCAGAACTCCTGCTAGCCAATGAGAAAAAACCTGTCACTTATGCAGTAGCTTTCTGAGACTAACCTATTGCCTCCACATCTCTCCCATCCCAGCATATAGTGAATGTTATTTGCTTATTGAGCTCCAGAGTAAAGGAATTCTTTGCAGAGCAGTATTTGACTATTGAAGTTATAGCCTGAGTTCTCTCCTTTGGAAAATTGCCAAACATTTGTTTTAAAAAAGACACATCCCAGATTAAAATAAATCAGAATCTGACCCTGCATTCCCCTAGTTTCTCAACTCCAGCAATGTCATAAGTTCAAAAAAATTGTTTTGAAAATTACCAATAATTATCAATGATATTTTAGATGACTTTGGTATGATTCTTGTAACAATCTAGCTAATCCTGCTAGAAGTTAGGGCTTTTAACAGAAATATTATTCTAGAAGCAGACTCATTATATTGCAACAGTCTTAAGTAAGAGTCAATCTGAATACAGAGGGGATTATTCCCATCTGTTCCTAAGCATTTGAACTGGTCGAATGTCAGATATTAAAGGAAAGGGAACGACAGACAGATGGAGCAACAACATTAGAAAAAATTTTAGGCTAAAATGTATTAGAAAATAAATTATTCTTTTTGGGAATTAATTTTGTTTCAAATGGATTTTTGAACATTTTTTTCTTTTTTTTTAACAAACGTGTAATATATCAAAGAAAAAGTGAGAAAGCAATAAAATACACTCTGGCATTTTACATGGCTAAGTTGATGCAAAAATGGTATCATTACTCTTCCCTTAAATCGTCTCAGTAAATCACATTATTCTGATAACTCACAGGCACATTTTTACTAATCTAGATGATATGGAAATTATATATTAGAAACTGACAAGGATGAGTTTCGGGGCTCATTGCCATGTGTCTCTAAGTCCTCACAGAACAGCAAAGCTAATATCCAGTAGTCCAATAGTTAAAATAATTGATGAGTGTGTGTTGAATACTCAGGAGAAAAGGGAGGAAGAAAGAAGGAAGGGGAAAGGAGAGGCTTGGAGGGAGGAGGGTTGGGGGCAGGTGCTTATTTCAACCCTGTAGCGTCAGGATTGCGTCAATTCGGGTTTCAGCCACGTCTGGAGTCTCAGAGACGAGCTTCTCAGAAGAGCCAAAACAGGAGCAGGGGTGGCAAATCACTGAGCGAGGGCGAATAGACCTCCTTCTTTCCCTTCTTCCCATTCCAGACACTGGTCTCCAGGGCTCTGCGCTGTTGTTTTCAGCATTCGGGAAAGCCGGCGGTTCAGATCCGAGCAAGTGAATCTAGCCAGGGGAGTTTTCCGTTCAGCACCTTGGACAGAAACGCAGCAAAAAAATGGCTCCGATCACTACCAGCCGGGAAGAATTTGGTAAGCAAGTTCTGAACTTATAACTGCGGTTGTTCTTTGAATACTCGGGAGTAGGCTGTGTCCCACCACCCCCATCCTGCGGGGTGGTTGGATATAGATTTCCTGGGTAGTTAAACTGCAAGGGAAATGGTAACAGTAAAGGAGCAATTCTGCAATTCTGGCTTATCTTGTTGACCCTTCATTGGTATCTTTCTTCTTAAATTGTCTGCTGCTAGGAAGATTTTACATCTTAGAAGTTCATTCAGGTAGCTCTTTAAATTGCAGCACGCACTGAGTAAAGGAAAGAGAGCTCTGTTGTTTGTTTGCTGATTTCATTAATTCTGCAGGTGATTCTTTTTTTCTTTTTTTCTTTTTTTTAAGATAAAATTGCGTTTAACTTATTAGGATCAATGCGTGTTTTGGTGATTACATAAGGGTGTGATTTCTGTATAAGTCAACTTCTGTATTAGGGGCTTGGGGTTATACCTTAAAACAAAGTGTACTATATACTGTTATTTCTTGTATTCTTGAGATACGTGGCTAGTGAAAAACATAGAGTCCTATGATACTAGATTTACAGGGGATGTTTGATATGAGTGAGCTCAGCTTATTTCATTTCACAAGGGAGGTAACCAAAGTCCAGACACAAGTATTTGTAGGTCACACAGTTAGTTAAAGCTACTGGAGAGTAGAATTAAGATTCCTATCTCCCACTGCAGTTTATCTTTTATTATACCATTTTTTGTCTTACACCACTGCACTCCTTTCATTGAGTAGATAATAAAATCAGATGTACTTGTTCAAAATAAAAAGTGGTATTCTTAGGACACATTTATTCCAAAGTCAGAAGATCAGAGTTGTACTTACTTTCCAAGTATTTTTAATCAGGAAATTTTATAGAAATTTGTGAATAAGAAATGATAATTGAAAAACATATGTTAATTGTTATCTAGTTGAATGAAATAACTGAGATCTTTGCTCTCAAAAGCTTAAGACCTTATTAGCAGGGAATGCATATGGAGTAGTTGAGTCTTTGCATGTCACATTGAGTATTTTACCATTTATCATAAGTATTTAATAGAAACAATGTGTGGCATTATACACATAAATTTCTTTCACATCCTTTCTTTTGATGATTGAATTACAAGACTGTGGTGTTTATTTCTAATTCCTGATTTGAAAAATCAGAAAATTTCTAATACTGAGTCATTTTCAGAGATGGCGCTAGTGAAAATTATGTTCCAGCTTGGGTCATCAATCTATTTGGAAAAAAATCATTTTCTATTGCTTTTATTGTTCTTCTTGCAGTAGCTAACTAATTGCCTTAGTCCATGACATTGTTTTTGCTTCCTGGCCTTGAAGTGGGCACAATCCCTTCCTCCCTTCTCAAAGACTTGAATAGAAGGAAAATCTGAAAACTGGTGCTAAGTTTAACTGATTAGCCCTCAACTCATTCTTTTCCTTAACATTCACTGGATTTTCTATTTGGAAAATTTGAAAATTTATCTTACTTTCCCATAATTCAGTTTCTTGATACAATTATGCAACAGACTATTGTTTTGTTCTCTTTGCATTTTTATCTTTTTATATAGTTCAACCATTACTAGTTATTTCTTAATCTTCTTAATCTTATATTTTTTGAGTTCATTTTATAATTATGAAGTAACTAAGCAGAAGATTTGGGAGAGTGGGGTGTGCAGTAACAAAAGATTGCTCTTCTAGGGGGTTTTAAAACAAGTCTTAACCCTTTCCTAACTGGAACTGTTAACTTTATTATTCACTTTTAGAATTAAAAATAGATTAGAACAGAGCTAAATACAGATAATATTGCATTGGTTACATTTTCTTTGATTATATTAAACATTAACTCAGTTGATGCACTGTGTCCAGATATAGCAATACTGCTTTTACTCACACATTGCTACTAATCATTTGTTGGAGAAATATGCTTCCATATGGGACATGATAAGCTTCCTGCATAATCAGTGTTACCTAATGTCAGTAATTTAATGTGCCCTCATTCAAGGGAAAGATGCCAATTTAAATTTGATTACCATTTGCCATGTGGAAATGACTAGGAAAAAAAATCAGTTGTGGATGAAATTGAACTCAATTATCTATATTCACTTTTCTCATTACATGTTAAGGAATGATGATACATATACAACTTGTTCTTTTTAGGTGTAATTAATTTTTCCTTTGGCTAATTCGTGCTTGAGAAATTTTAGGTTGGTACATAGGAATTTGTAGTGCTATAAATTATATAATAATAACATACTGTTGTTCCTTTTTTTTTTTCAGTTGCCCCCAATGTACACACTTTACTTTTACCACTATTGTATAATTTGGGTGGATATTTTAATGAGTTTAATATTCTACTATTTCTTCAAATTACCTGAACTGCTTTAGTGATGGGCAAAGAGATACTGAGAATACTATTTAAAGTTCCATAGTCAGTAAGAACTGATGCTGTTGGAAAACCTCAAAATGTCAATGAAAGTTGATTCATGCTATCTGAGAAAACAAAGGTAGGTTAGGATCATTTAGCTTCCTGTAAACATATTTATAGTATATTTAAGAAAAACTACCAAAACAAAGAAGTTTCTAGCATACTTTTTCTTCTATGTGTCATACAGGGGTGTACTCATTCCTGAAAGTGAAATGTGTATATAAATCATACACAGAGCAGTTCGAAAATAATTCAATCAGTGCAGCTACAGCAATTGCCAGTTCTAGTGTGCTTTTTAAATAGACTCCTATGTCCAGCTTTGCTCCTTTAATCTATATTACTGGTCATTTGATTTTTCAGATGAAATCCCCACAGTGGTGGGGATCTTCAGTGCATTTGGCCTGGTCTTCACAGTCTCTCTGTTTGCTTGGATCTGCTGTCAGAGAAAGTCATCAAAGTCTAACAAGACTCCTCCATATAAGTTTGTGCATGTGTTAAAGGGAGTTGATATCTACCCAGAAAACCTAAATAGCAAAAAGAAATTTGGAGCAGATGACAAAAATGAAATTAAGAATAAACCAGCTGTGCCAAAGAATTCATTGCATCTCGACCTTGAGAAGAGAGATCTCAATGGCAATTTTCCCAAAACCAATCTCAAAGCTGGCAGCTCTTCTGATCTGGAAAATGTAACCCCGAAGCAATTCTCAGAGGGAGAAAAAGGGGCTGTTTCCCCCGATAGTTTAAAGTCCAGTACATCCCTTACTTCAGAAGAAAAACAAGAGAAGCTGGGAACCCTCTTCTTCTCTTTAGAGTACAACTTTGAGAAGAAAGCATTTGTTGTAAATATTAAGGAAGCCCGTGGCTTACCAGCCATGGATGAGCAGTCAATGACCTCTGATCCATACATCAAAATGACGATCCTGCCAGAGAAGAAGCATAAAGTGAAAACCAGAGTTTTGAGGAAGACCTTGGACCCAGCCTTTGATGAGACCTTTACGTTCTATGGGATCCTCTACACTCAGATCCAAGAGTTGGCCTTGCACTTCACAATCTTGAGTTTCGACAGGTTTTCAAGAGATGATATCATTGGAGAAGTCCTTATTCCTCTTGCAGGAATTGAATTATCTGATGGAAAAATGTTAATGAACAGAGAGATTATCAAGAGAAATGTTAGGGTAATTCATTTTCACTGCTTAACGTATTTATCAACATCATTTTGTAGCTTTTTTGTGTCTAGAGACTTTTCTTTAAAATAAGTTTATACATGTCATCTTTACCATGTTTAATTACTCATCAGAATCAAATGGGAAGCAAGGAAATAGAACAGATAAAGAAAAACTTAACCTACAACTGAAGTGCTCAATGCATTTTGAGGATATAAAATAAATAGGCACTGTTTATGGACTTTAAGTGTCACTTATATGAAGTATTTTTGTTAAAATCTATCATAAGTATTATGATGAAAATTGTCACTTAAAATGCACTCATTTTTAAAATTATATTATTTATTTATAAGTAAGGTAACAAAGTTAATATTTCAAGGCCAGCATAATTGAGGGGAAGTAGGAATTTAAAATTACATAGGTCTATCCTGAGAAGTTATATTGACTTTCCATGAATTCCTTTTCAAAGAGGAAACATCATGTCATATTGACTTATAAATGTTCAACTTTGTGCTGTATTATAGGGAGTTACTTTTCCTTTGAAGTTAGACTAGTAGTTTTTAGATTATTAAATAGTCTATTAATAGTCACCAAATAGTCAAATTTGGTCATATTTCCACTTTAGTTAAAATTGTTATGTTTGGAAAAAACTGTGACAAGGCATAATTTTATAGAATACCATAAATCTCATTTTGCCTATAGCTTTGCTCTTTTTTGAAATTAATGAAAATTGAGTTCCAAACTTCTTGAGTAGCTGATTTGAGAAACAGAGATTTTTAGTTTTCACAATAGGAATAAAGCTTTGCTCCCTTATTCTTCTTGAATTGCTTATAAAGTTACCCTATGTCAGATATAGTTTAAATATATATTGACATTATAGGAGGTTGGCCCCAGGCATCCTATTAGTTAAAATCCAAATCCAACATTTACATTTTGTTGCTTTCAGTTAAAAGTTGTACTTTGAGTTCTTGATTACCTTAGTTAATGTTTTTAAAGTAAAAATTTAAAGCTATGTAATATGAAAAGAAGGAATGTGCAAAGAGAAAGCATTGAAAATTTGAGGTTTCCTGTAAGTTTCTATAATAATTAATTTCTTGTATAAAAAAGTACTCTGGGTGGTGAATGAAGATTTTGACTCAATCAACCTCTGGGTTTGGAGAGTGGCCAGGGTTTGAATACATTTCAATTGGTCTGAATTTAAATTTTAATAAGGCACATGCTAAAGAAATTGAAATCAAATCAAAGTTAACAAAATTTCGCCCCATACAGATTTGTTCAAATGAGTAGGTAATTTTGATTTATGTTAATAATTCCCAAAAGTATAGATTTAACTAACAGCAGAAACTAAAAAGATTTGTGTGTAGGTATGCTATAAGTATCCTTTTAAACATTTCCATTAAGGGGTGTGGCTAACTCATTAAAAAATTTAACGTTTTGTAGTACCTAAAATGACCACAAGATGGCAGGCAGTTGTTTTTTAGGAGGTAAGGGTACTGCCAAGATTATCACACTTGGATTCCTTACTAGATTAAAATAAAAATAAATACGAAAATTATATTTAAATAATAATGTTATTATAGTGTTTCACAACGTTTATATGAGTACAAATCCTGAAACTGAAAAATTCTTATATCCTTTCTTTGCTTAGAAGTCTTCAGGACGGGGTGAGTTACTGATCTCTCTCTGCTATCAGTCTACCACCAATACGCTCACTGTGGTTGTTTTAAAAGCTCGACATCTGCCTAAGTCTGATGTTTCTGGACTTTCAGGTAAGAACGCTTCTGACAAATTCAGGCTCAGGCGTAATATATTAGGGAGTGTATTTAACAATGAACATTGATCTATGATTTTGATCTATTATTTACAATCACAAATTATATAGCTATATATGTGTTTCTCATTTTATGGAATACTAATGTGAACCAGTGCCATGAGGAACATTCAAATTTAGGGTTGAGTCAAAGGACAGTGAACAAGCTGAGAAACCACATTATCAGAGAGGCTGAGTTGAGAACACTTGTGGCTGAAAATGATTTTTCTCTTTCTTAAGGTTACATGTGAGTCAAAGTGTTGTAAAATATAATCTCACATCAGTAATAATCACTGCCTGTCACAATCGTCATTGTGGCCTGAGAAAGCCCTATTTCCTTTTGTGAAGTTGTGAAATTAGTGGGTAAAGACATAAACTTCAGCTAGAAATTCAGTTAGAAAAGCTGTTTTCTTATAAGAAATATGTATAGAAGAAAACTAGAGTTCTAAGATTCAAGCCAAAATTAATACATGGTAAATATTTGATGGATTGGAGTTGAAGGCGACTGTAGACATGAGAATCTATTATCAGACATACAGTGATAGCAAAGTTAAGATTTTGGAGAAAAGCTTTTAATTTTAATATTTCAAAAGCCTCCTTATGTCTACTCTTCTGCTATTTTATTTTGTCTTTCCTATCATTCCTTATGTATCTGCTTTAAGAATTAATTATGTGATAATTTGAAAAAAATGTATGGCACGAGGAGAAAGGTCACTTGATTTGTGAGTTAAAATAATCTCAAGTTTGATCTTAATTCTCTCATTTTTCAGATGAGTAATATTACATATGTTTCTTATCCTCTGTAAGAACTGGATGTAATACTTACCTGGAGCAGCATTGTGAGGATTAGAACTATATTCTTTATTAAATATCACCCAATGTTATCATCACTACTTGAAATGAAAGTATAACATGCGATCTTAAGGGTTTAGAGTAGGAAGTTAAAATTAATCCATGTACTACCATTAGAAAAGGGGATAATTTATATAATTAAATGTGTGACAAAGTTGCATGATCTTAAAACCTAAGCACTAGGGGTCAACACTTGGAAATAGGAAGCATATACAGAAGTAATTAAAGAACCCCAGAAAAATTAAAACAAAAAGGGTATTGCCAAAGTGAATTCTAAGCTCCCATTTGTTAGGAAATTCAGTTCAAGTCATAAAGGTAGTGACTTCTATTTTGTGTCAGATTACTTAGTAAGGTAAGTTGTCGTCTATGCCTTTTTTCTTCTTTTATCCCATTCTCTAGAATGAGTTATTAATAATCATGATCTATATTTATGCTACCTCTTCTTCTGCCATTTTAGTTCCTTTTCCTTCTTCGGGTTTAGAATGAATTCCTCTTATCTTACATTCTTATTTTCAAATTACTGAGGGTTAAGAAGCCAAGCCTTACCCATATCTCTACTTGACATTTTCATTGTGATCACCTTCTACTGACCTGTGGTTATCTATAAGGCCACCATGATCTGCAGATCAGCTCTCTAGTCATATTCCCTAAGGTAATGTCTGTTTTGTACCACTGCAGATCCCTATGTCAAAGTGAACCTGTACCATGCCAAAAAGAGGATCTCCAAAAAGAAGACTCATGTGAAGAAGTGCACACCCAATGCAGTGTTTAATGAACTGTTTGTCTTTGATATTCCTTGTGAGGGTCTTGAAGAGATAAGTGTTGAATTTCTGGTGCTGGATTCAGAAAGGGGGTCCAGAAATGAGGTGATTGGGAGGTTGGTCCTGGGAGCATCAGCAGAAGGAACTGGTGGAGAGCACTGGAAGGAGATCTGTGACTATCCCAGGAGACAAATTGCCAAGTGGCATATGCTCTGTGATGGTTAGCCTCCTAGCCATGAGTTGGAACTTAACAATTTTATTAGGCAAGGAGCAGTTTTCTTTCTTTCTGATAAGTGATTACAAGCTTGTGATAACAAGCTACTTTTTTTTTTTTTTTGGTTAGAAATGGATTGAATTAGCAGACCAGGAAGTAACTGTAAATGTGTATCATGAAAATTTCCCCCTTTTTTAGAGACATTGGATAAATTTTCATAAGCTATTCAAGCTATTCAATTTCTTTTGCAGGTTACCAGTGATATATATATATATATATGAGTAGTAGAGGGATTTCATGAATATTACACTATAGTCCTATATTATGGAAGTGGTTTGGGTGGTAACTTCATTGGAAGATATCACCAGAAGTCGATGTGGTGGTACGAATTTACAAATGGAAAGCATGTCTCCTCTTATGAAAATTCATCCATTTTTCTTCAAGTGGGAAAATCAGTTTTTCTTTAAATCCAAAGATACTGAAGAAATGTTCACTAGTTTGTTTTTATTATGTCATGTGCAAATGGTTGTCCTGCATAGAAAAGTATATATGGTCATTTCTCTTTTATTCTTACCTACTTGGTAGAATTTTATCAAAAGAGAAATAATTTAGGGTTGATTCAAAAGGATAGTGAACAAGCTGAGAAATCACATTATCAAAGGGCTGAGTTGAAAACACTGTGGCTGAAAATGATTTTTCTCTCCCTTAAGGTTACATGTGAGTTAAAATGTTGTAAAATATAATCTCACATCGAAACCATGGCCTTGAAATAATCACTGCCTGTCATAATCATCAGTGTGGCCTGAGAAAGCCCTATTTCCTTTTGTGAAGTTGTGAAATTAGTGGGTAAAGACATAAACTTCAGCTAGAAATTCAGTTAGAAAAGCTGTTTTCTTATAGGAAATATGTGTAGTATGCAAATGTGCATTTAAGGCTACCCCTTGCACAAAGAAAGGGCGTGACTAAGTCTTCATTTGGCTTGTTTTCCCCAGAAGGAACTAAGCTACCAATTCGGGAAAAAAAAGACTGTGAAAATTTAACCATTGCCATATATAAAGCATTACTTAAACCAACACACTAAGTAATATGACTCAAAACTAGTTATACAAGCCTGATGTAATTTAAATATGTTCACACAAAATATATTTAGGCTGTCAAATTAGCACAACAAAGTATGTGTTTCAATGTCTTTTCTAGACTAATTTGTCTTGAGCTGTTGTCTGTGGTACAGTTTATAGACTTGTGTCTTGTACCGTTTTCTAGTGCCAGGACTCTGCAATTCATTACAAATCTCTTAGAGTACAGCAGTGCCCTGCGATGATTTGGAAAGAATTCACTTGAGGTAACGTTGCTATTTGAGTTTTTAGAGAAGTATGAGTAAAACTCGGGTACAGTTGAATTATTAAATATGCAAGTTAGAAATAAAGTCTACTGAAAAACTTACATTTTGAGTCAGGTTTTGTGTCAGTACTTTAGCAGTTTTTGAGAATGTGTTTGATATCACAGTGTTTGTAAATTCTTTGACAACGCATTTTCAAAACAACTTATACATGCTTTTTATGACAATGCCTAATGTAATGAAAATGTTTTACATTCTGTATGTACAAAGACTGGAACCAATCTCCTTTTTGTGCTTTAAGATAACTTTAGGATTAAAAAAGGAATATTCTTCAACCATTGTCTGCATTCCACTACAAAGTCACCTACAGCATTTGTTCCACTCAACATTTCTGTGAAAGCAACTTGAAATGAATCATTGTCAGTGTGTGGCTTGGAAAAGTCAAATGGCCTTTTGATTTACATGTATTTGGTATCATGGGCCAGGGAAAGGATCTATTTTGGGGCTCAGAGAAGTTGTGAGGAGTCAGTGCTAAGTATCCTTTGCAGCAGCCAAAAGTTAGTGGTGGTACCCGGTGAAGTATGGTTGTTGGAAGAAGATTTTTTTCAGTGGAACAAGACCAACAACAAATACTTTTAAAATTTCAATAGATAATTTGTAAATAGCTTTTTTTAAAAAAAAATTAAAGTGTTTTGAATGTGAAAAGTTGAGTACAATTACCTACAATTGCTTTTAAGAGAGAAGAAAAAATTAAATTTAATTTAGAATGAAATTTAAAGCAGGTGGGGTACATGATCCCCTCATCTTTGGAAAATTGTACTGTTTTATAATGTATTACATTATCAATGTGAATATCTTGAAATCTGTTACCAATTCTGCACTGTATTAAACATGTAAATTAATTGTTTGTCTGATTAGCCAGACTAAACCCACCTAATGGGAGGGATCCATGTTTGAAGAACTGTGTAACTCGGTAACTGACTTGTTCTGATGTTGTAACTCAATAGAAGTGATTTGGAAGGAAGCATGGTTTATGAGATGGTGTCCGTTCTTTTGTGCCAGCTCTGTATGATGTTTGTAAGACCATGTTTGTAAGACATGAATAAAATGCTGCTTTTGCCCAACCCATTTCAACTCAAACTTTCTGCCAATGGTTTCTGTATAAAGACTGATGTCATTTCTTTCTGAGTTCTCAAATTTCCTTAATAGATTTCTTGGCAAAAACTAGGAGACATTAGTGACTCAGCACCAATGTATTCCATATAACTTATTTGTTTTGCTTCATCCTTATAACAATCATTTGGGACAAGTATAATGCTTCCTATTATACAAAAACAATGAGATGCTTAAGCTACTGACTCAGATGCTCATGGCAGTAAGTGAAAGGATTTCACAGCATTCCACATACTTCCCTCCATGACCCTTGAGAGTCCTCATCAGCTGCATTCTAAAGTGCCCCTGCCAAATTATTTGAATTTTTTCTGCATTCTTTTTTTTTATGATCTTATTTCTCGGTATTATCCCTTTCATTACTAATAATTTTTATTATTGCCTTTTTTTTTTTTTAGTGTCTTTCACTTCCTCCCATATCCTTACACTGTGTAGATTTAATTAGTAAATGGGAAGGAATTGGAGTTTGATTTTCCTTAAAAGGTTGTGTGGGGGCCCTCCCTGGTGGCGCAGCGGGTTAAAGGCCACTTCCGCATGAGTTCGATCCCCGCCTGCCCCGGAGGTGACCACATGGCG